TACCTTGCTTCTTTCTGATTGTGTATTCCCAACAAAAACTGATCCTTAATCAAACATTATGGTCCAAGTTCAGACGATTCCCAACTTGCTATTTTCGCCAGTCATTGTGTAACTGGACAGTGAACAGGACGACGCGTTCCAAAGCCATCAGCATGCCAAACCGATAGTGCACGATTGCCAAGTCAAGTAGGTATAGCTGGACAGTTGAGCCCTACACTGCATGCAAGGGGTCTTATGGTGGCCAACATCACGCAGCAGGCGAATCTTAGACAAGCGCACATGACTAACCACTGCTAACCATTGTCCAGCTAGATCTGTACAACAACGAGGATCTCTAGCACCGTTGTAGGCTTAACAACCTGGAATATCCAGAGTACTGGTGTGGGTCCCTTCTGTGTGGGTACAAAAAAATGCATACATAGAATACGATAGGACATTTTGAATCACAACAGTACTGTACAATGAATATGAAGTAGAGCCGAGATGGCTATGGAAAACAATGTTTAGCCTGACAGCCAAAACACTCAGGGCGGTGGACATGACGCATGCGAAAGATCATTTGGTGGACCGAACCACACATGAGACAAAGCCCATTCGGAAATATATGGTCAGCAAGCGCAAGGCATTATTCAGTTTGGTCCACACAACGATGGTCACGGAAAATCGTTTCCAGCACCGCTTTAGATTTAATGCTTCAGAATACCAATGGAATTCAGGCGGGACGGAAAAAACTTAGCAGTTCAACTCCTTGGTGTCCGCTCCTAACAACTTTGATGTACGTTACCAATGAGTAGAACCCAGAATGCATCTGCGTGGCATTCTGTGGGTAACCATGATTCCGTCTACAGGATGACCATTGAAAGCCACTTCAAGCACCATCGCGTGCTCCGTACACCCAGTTTCCCACTGCGCTGGGACATTGTGGTTTTAGTCACGGAAAGTCACCTCTGGCGCTAGCGGGATTAGCTATCTAATAACCCCAAAAAACTGAGACAGATCTGTTAAAATTACTTTGTCCGTAGATGTTTCGCCGACGAATCACCGTTTATCAGCCAGTGACGAAGGTGCGCAATTTCATCACCAGGCACAGGTTCCACTTCATCTAAACCATCTTCTCGAGGATATTGAGGGCCACACTAACCTCAACAATATACGAGCTCATCTTACGGTCGATAGTAGAATCAGAAGATAGTTCGCGCGACAGTCCGCAAACCCCGTTCAAATCTTGGTGCACAGAGAAATGGTGGGGAGCATATCTCGAGCCGGCTGATCGTACCGTTTAGTTGTAACATCCTTCTGGTGCCTAGCTACCATGCCACCCGAAAAAAGCACGAGGGCTGAGATACTGCCAGGTTGCTCACGCCTAGGCACGGGTAATCGAGATGCAGAGGTTCGAGCAACCGACCATCCTGTCAGTAAATTTGCGCTTTAACCACTGAGCTACTTGAGGCCGGTTGATATAAGACGAAAGTCCTCTTCGCATTGATGCTAAGGCCAAACCGCGCAGCAGCAGTCGAAAACCTATCACTTAAACTCTGTGATTCATCATGCGTGTGTCCGAAAACACGGGCGTGAGAGCCTTGGTCCGGCGGGCCAAACTCCCCAGACCAAAACGTCTCACACCAATAAAGTGCATTCTCCAGAGCCGAAAGTGTTTCCACCAACTAGCCTCCCAAACCGTAATTTGGCGTTCACCTGCCGTGAGTAAAGCGCGAACATACTGGCCGGGAGGTCCATGGTTTGAGCCCAACCTCTGTTTCTCGACTTCCCCTGTCTATGCTTGGGCAATCTGACAGTATCCCAGTCCTCGTGCTTCCTTCTGGTGGCATGGCAAGTAGGTACCGAAAGAGTGCTACAGCTAAACGATTCTTTATAACCTTTCTCTCAGACAGTTCACCCGAAGAAGTTCAGCGGGTACTCGCCCGTTGATTCATCAGTCTGTTGATGTGTTTGCGTTATCCAACACTTTTGCGGCTGAGATCCACTTCAATTACTGTCAACATTCTGGGGATTTGCAGTTGATGTGAAGCTTGGTTCTCGAAAGAGCTTAAAATTCTTTGCGTTGCTGCTGAGCAGGGAAGGCTTTGAGCTATCAGCTCCTTCTTTACCATTCGTCCTCAATGCGCTGAAGTTCCCAGTTAGGTCACTTGGAGCAGCTGTTTTTTGAATTCGCCGTTCATAAAGGCAAGAGATTTGGCATCTCTTTCTTTCGAGCTATCAGCTGTTTTATATGTTGACTTTTGTCCTCAGGTCAATCAGGGTGCCTCGAGCGCAGTTGCCTGATCTCGCTGATTGCCGCCATCATCATCTAGTGCTTCAAATTGTGTAACGTTTTGTTAGCAGGATGGACGAGTGGAAAGCTGCCTGTGCGGAATTCAGTTGATGCTGCCTCACAGACCTGCCTTCCGGAACTTTGAGATGGTATACATCTTTCTGTGCTCACTGATGCAGTTGGCTTACTGTGGCTAACAAAGCTGAATTTGAACTATGCTCGGATAAGCTGTTCCCCTGTCTGTTCCACAGGGGTGTTAGAATAAGTCGCATGATGAACTAGTGGACTATAAAGTATTGGAGCAGGTGAGTGGCCGCTGCGTGGGTGAATCCATGTGGCGATGTGATGCTTTTCGCGAAGGGATATCGCGTCAATGGCAGCAAGCGCATGGAGAGCGCAAAGTCTAAAACATCGGTCTATGTTGTTGTTGTTGTTTACAGTTCCGATACAACGGCATCCGAGGACCTGTGGTCACAGTGAATGACCTCAACCGACAAGCGCACTGAAGTATCCCATGAAGAAAATCCTGTGGGTTTTGGAGAACCAACCAAAGTAGAGTATTAATTTCGGTATGGAAATAGTCCTTTCGGTTGTCTGCAGGGCAAAGTGATGGAGAGTATGCACTGATCAGAGCCACAGTTTCGGTCTGTCAATCTCAGGCACGATGAACTAAAACGTGGATTGGCTTTATGAGCTTCTGTGTCAGGCATTTTCTCGGAGCGGTCGGACAGGGCGTCATGAAGGAAACCTGGGGGCTGCGCCCACCTGACATGCCAAAAGAAGGGCGAAACCGGCTGCGGGCTGCCGAGGGGTTTCCCGCAAACTTTCGAGCCAGGAAGACACCATGACCTTGTTGTCCTGCTGTCGGGTATGAGATCTAGTAGAACGTGCATCAGGAAGCAGCCTCTCGAAGACTTTCTCGGTCTGCCAACCGTGATTCTTCGAGAGTCACATCAACTCCGTGCCCGTTCAGTCCTGTTGCAACCAAAGCCGTGTGTGCCACACAGGATGGGCGATCTGATTGTTCGATCCGGCACGGTCTGGACCCTTTGTAGGCCGAGCGAAGCGCTCTTCCAAAAGACGCAGTCTGGGTAGTGAGACTCTCTGGCCTTAGAAAACTGTGCTTTAGAATGGCCACACAAAGCCTCGGAATTTTTATTGACAGGAGTCGTATTTTTCCGACCGTAGCTAGTCAACGCGTTTTCAACCACGATCAGTCCCACACCAAGGCGGCGTCAAAGCTCAGGATTCCTTTTACTAGCCTCTTGTTCGACCGGAAGGACAGTGGTGCACGCCTGCTAAGTAGTAGACACGATTTTCAGCCAACGGTCAGGCGGGCAAGACAACCATTGTGTCTAGAAAACAACCTAATGTGCATGGCATCCCAGGACGGTGGTCAGTCATGAGGTAGCAGAGGCTCATCTAACACCAAATTACCGAAGTGAACTAGACTGATAACCTGATGAAAGATGGTATATGTTTTTCACAGGCTAAAATGCTTTAGAACGACTTGTTCTGTTTCAAACAGGGTTATGGCAGACCGTACTGGAAACAGATGTATGACCCAGTTGAGTGATCCCGGTAAAAGAGGCATGTGTGCATCAATGCACCACCTGTATGAGACATGATGACCGAGCTAAGCCTTTTGGGATTGTCCCAGACCTGCTACGACGTTCATCAGGCGGATAGCTGCTACAGATGACTAGCTGGAAGGACAAACAGAACAAGACGGTAGGCCACACAAAAAGTATTCGTGGTGAACCACGTGGGGATAACGCAACATTGTGATGAGTAAATGACATACATCCAATTATAGACCTAGTACAGGGCGAGATGGCCCAAGTAGTTAGAGCGCGAATTTATTGACCGGAAAGTCCGTGGTTGGAATCTGACCTCCGCCACTCGACTTCCTCTGTCTAGGCTTGAACAACCTGGCAGCACCCCAGGCCTCGTGCTTCCATCGGGTGGCATGGCAGCTAGGCACCAGAAGGGTGCTACAGCTGAACGCTATAGACCTAGTGCGTAACAAGATGTCTTATGACAACAATATAAAACAGTGCGTTTAAAATAAGGTTGAGATGGTACTGAACACAAAAGCACGACCCGGTTACCCGATTCAGGGGTTTTCAGTGGCGAACCACACAAAAATCCCATAGGCTTGGACGGTGGTTCTCACCCGGGCGACATAGAGGGCTACATATCCCCCATACACTCCACGTGTGTATGTATAGGCGGGATGAATGCTATTTCAGCAGATAACCCTCTAGAAACCCGTCATTCAGCGACAAGTGGCAGGACCAACGCGACACTACGCCACGGCCGATGTGGCATGACGATATTTTTAGTTCCGGTGTACTGGCTAGGGTACTATCAGGCTCACACAACAGGCACGAAGTAGAAAACGGTAGCCTGATCCTTGGAGTAGAAACATCCGAAAATATCTTAAGACTTTCGAAATTGCCTGGCTTTGTGTTATTTTGCATACGGTGACCACTCCAAACCCCTCCCCAAATTATGTGCAGCAACAGCGGGTGGCATGCCTTGACACATGATCATAGTTACAAAAGCAGGAAAAATAGCCCAGAGATGCCAGTTACGGGTGACTGGAATTTCAGGAAAATGGGGAGACTTAGGGACGATTCAAACCATCAGAGAGCATGAAGGTTAGCGTTAGGGAACAAGGGTTCAAGACAAATGCCGCATCCAAATATGTATGCTCCACACTTACCCAGACATGAATGAGAGGAAACCTCCCTTGGATTTCTTTTTCGCCTGCTCAACATATCCTCGAGCTTCTGCTTCCTTTGCTTCATTCATTCTACCTCGGTAAAGACGATCGGCAGCGGACCCGTAGAGTTTTGGTTGCTGATTGGTCAGTCACGGATTCACGGATTCACGGTTTGATACACAGGATCGAGGCTTTTGCCCAAGTTTCCCGGGTCGGTTTTGTTCTTGTCGGTCAGTGGCTGTCGTTCACCTGAAAGGCACAAGTGAAAAAAGGGTGTAGCACTGCTCTTTATGTTCTCAGCGCGAGGCAGTATGCTCGCCAGCGCGAGGATTCGCATAAATAAACGTCTAATAGTGCTTTAAATTGGGTTCGAGAAGGAGCATGGACAACCGTCGGAGGAAGGTCATTCCACGCAGCTACTACCCGAAATGAAAAAAAGTTTTGTCTAACGGATGTGTGTGCCCTGAGCTTGAAGATTTTCGTACTATGTCCCCGCCGGGTGTTTGCTGGGTAAACGGTAAAAAACCTGTTTGCCAAGCTTTGTTCAAACAAGGCGTAGGTAAGAATTAGGTCCCCTCGGAGGCGACGGCACTCCAGGGGAAAGAGATCAAGCGTCACGAGA